AAAATGGAGGTCGGATGGTGTGGCAGAGGGACACAAAGTGAGACAGAGGGGAAGAGGGAGGAGAGAGGGAGAGACAGAGAGTGGGGGAGAGAGAGAGAGAGCGATGCCATATGTTGCAGCTCCTGGATTTGGGGGTGCATGCAGAGTGTGCTAATTAAATGAAGACTAAATGGGCATAAAAACAATGGCATGTTGACAGCAAGAGGCAGACAGACTGAGGAAAAAATTAAGTAATGAAGGGCGAGAGAAAGAAGATCAGAGGAGGAATGGAAGCCTGATGGACATGAAGAGGGCACATTTGTTGATGGGAAGAAAACGAAATGTTACGTAGGAGGAAGGATGCAGATAGAGACAGAGACGCAGAAACAGTATTGGGCGGAGAGAGAAAGTGAAAATAAAAGGGGAGACAGAGAGAGAAAGGGGGCTGCAGAGAAAAACAGAAGAGGAAGATAAAAGGATATTAAAAGCTCTTCAGCCTTGCCAACAAGGAGAAGAACAGGCCAACAATGCGGTTTGAGAAGTGAGAGCTGCACTGCAGATAGTGAACAAGTGGTTCATCCACACTCTTCTCCTACATATAACCTCCATTTAATTAGTATGAAAACATGTCACAGTGTAAGTTCCATGTATAAAAATGGGTGGACAAAAACAATGACAATGCCAACACGCCGTCATCTCAGTTTAACATGTTAGCATGCTAACGACAGGTGATGTCATTAGTTTTGCAGGTATTTGGTCGTAATCGTAAACCAAAGAAAATGAAGTTCCTGGGCGCTCTGAGTGAATAAGTTGTCATCTAGGAGACAGGTTGTGTCTAATGAAAGACGCTAGTGAGCTGCAGTGAAAACTGTAGTATCCAGTGTGTTTGGAGATTGAAACAAACTAGAGACAAAAGGGCCAGGTTATCTCTGCTGCTTTGATTTTGACCATTCTTTTTTTTTTCCATCTAAATAAAAAGTCCACTCACTTTATGTAATTCAATAATAAATTGCAGGACTACTTCATGCACTGGTTGATAATTGCCTGCAGTTAATGGCTAGTGATGCATGAGCAGAAATCTGCATGAGTCCATTAAAAAGAGTGTATGTCACTATCTGTGCCTAAGTATGCGTGAGGCATTCGAGGCTCAAGGCCGGCAGCTGGGGTCCGACATAGTGGAGTCTGTGTGTGTGCGTGCCTGTGTCCGTGTGTGTGCGTGCCTGTGTCCGTGTGTGTGTGTGCCTGTGTCCGTGTGTGTAAACAGAGCTTAGATGTATTATTAGGCCAGCCATGTCCGTGCCCTAAGCCACTTACAGCTTGTCTATCTTCTTGATCAGACCAGTCAAGTTACACCATCACACCATGCCACTGTATGACATCACAGCAGGTTGGACGGTTCCTAGGCAACTAGATCAAATCATCATAGAAACTGGCCAAGGTAAAGAGCTTGCCGAGAGGCTGTGGTAACTCCAAAGAAGAAGGGACGGAGCTAAAAATACCACCTATCAGATACAGTGAGACTTGAGACAGTGAGAGAATCAATATAGCAGTGGGGGTGGAACTCGATATATTCTTTCTCAGTCTCGTATTGCAGACTGAAATACAATATCCAAAACGATCAAAGTAGAGTAAGCTCCAAGTGGGCACATATCAAATGCTCACAGAGACTTGTTCACAGGCTGTCATATGTTGTCTCCTCTCTACCTCCATCTCATTATTATCTGTTATCCCAGAATACTGCCAAATAAATGATTTAAAAGTGATAACATTGAAAAAAAAGGGAGCATACCTATGTTCCCC